TGTCACGCTACTCGTTCTCTCGAACCTTCGGGAATTGTCGGGAGATTACTAGATATAGGGTAGTCTGGTATATATAAGATGGTGACAACGTGACCGGACAGTGTGTGTGTAGGTAGTGAGTAATTGAACTGCAGTCAGAAAGTATTGTTGAAGTTAACGTTCGTTGTTATAGCGTTTGTTATAGAGCGACTGTTGAAAATAAGTGTATCGGTAAAGTTATATTCAGAAAAAATAAACCAGTTTTATTAAGAAAGGACTTGTGTCGCTAAAGTTTCGTCGGAACGAAGTTACGGAAAATCAACTAACGAACGGAGACGTAACAAATTAGTGTCAGAAGTGGGATAAAAAAAATGGAAACGAGAAGCGGCAAATCAAACTACAGCATAGCAGACTTGATGGCAGCAATACAAGAACAGCAAAAGAAACAAGAAGAACGAGAAAAGAAACAAGAAGAACGAGAAGAGAAATTACAACAGTTGTTAGAGGAAAAAGAAAAGAAACAAGAAGAACGAGAAATTAATCAAGAAGAGAGATTAAAGCAGTTGTTGGAGGAAAAAGAAAAGAAACAAGAAGAGAGACAACAGCAGTTGTAAGAAAACCTGCAACAGTGGCAGCTCGAACAACAAAATAAACAAGAAGAGAGATTACAGCAGTTGTTAGAGAAAAAAGAAAAGAAAAACAAGAAGAAAGATTACAGCAGTGGCAAGAAAACTTACAACAATGGCAGCTCGAACAAAATAAACAAGAGAAATTACAGCAGTTGATAGAGGAGAAAGAAAATAAACAAGAAGAACGAGAAAAGAAACAAGAAGAGAGACTACAGCAGTGGCAACTGGAACAAGAAAGGAAACAAAAAGTACAAATGGAAAACATTAATAAATTTAAAAGCGAATTAGATACGTTAAAGGACGATCTATTATCTTTTACACAAGGAGGATACATTGACCATCGACTTAATCAGCCCCAGACAATGGGAAGCCCCTTACAGAGCCCGCAGCTAAACCCTAATGCAGACATATTCAGTCCCATTAGAAATCACATCCCAGATATGAATGTCAGTTATAGGAGTGATCCACTGCGAAGGAAACCACAGGAATTCGATGGGAAGGCATCGTGGGAACCATATAGAGCACAGTTTGAGTTACTGGCAGAGATGAACGGATGGACAGAGGAGCAGAAAGCAGTATATCTGTCAACGAGCTTGAAGGGACAACCACTGGAAATACTTGGACAGTTGTTAGCAGACAACAGGCACAGCTATAG